CGCTAGGAGCGCTGTATAATTTGCCATGCAAAGAAACAGACCTCAAACGTCATTCATCCTCTGGTTTGGCACCCTTGGAGGTGGAGTTCTTCAAATTTAAATGGGACCATTACTGAGGTTACCCTCTTTCCAACAAAAAAAGAATCATCAAAATCGGTTCACATACATAAAAAATACATACAGTCGAATTGAGAACCTTATTTTTTTTAATCGGTTAAAAATTGTGAAGTCATTTACGCGGTCGTAGAGCTACCACAGTAAACTCGTGGTAGAGGCACATATGATTTAAATGAAGAACTTTTAAGAGTCAATACTACGAATCGGATCAATTACGGTCGAATCAATTTTTTTGCCGTACTAATACGATTCATTTTGCTTGAATTGATTTCAGATATTTTTTACAAACGGAATTCAAGTCATTTGAAAAATGTATGTCGTACACGTACGTACGTAAAGATCGTACGTACGTGTTCTGTTTAGTTCAGTTGATATAAAAAAAAATCATTTCGTGGTAAGTTTGGTTTTTCTAAAATTTTTAGGAATCGTGTTTTCACACCTTATACTAATCAGTTTATATCCATAATTTTACTATATATTTTTAACCGACTTCAAAAAAGGAGGAGGTTCTCAATTGTATAAAACGACTGTATGTTTTTGTTTTGTATATATGTTACGCGATAACTCCGGTATTTGTGAACCGATTTTCATGATTCTTTTTTTGTTGTAAAGGGGGTACTTCCATAGTGGTCCTATTTTATTTTGAAGAAAATCATCCACCTCGTAGGGTGGCTGTTCACGCATGAAGATTCATGTTCATTAATAGCGCCTAACGTTAATTTAGGAGCAATTACTTTAATGGTTGATTTTGCTATTTCTCCGATTCAAGGCGTTTTTCTCTCAACACACTTTGAGTAGTGAGAACCGATTTTTATTATCTCCAGTGTCAAGTCCTGTATATTGGCGAACTAACTTAGCAAATAGACGTAATTCCACGTACTTTTGAGGTCGGTTTTTTTAGTACTCTGTACTGAGATTATGTCCAAAGTGACTGATTCAACACTCTCACTGTTATGCGGAACCAACCAAAGCCATTTGAGGTTGTATAGACTCCTAAGGCCCATTTAGATGGAGAGAGTTTATCGTACGCTTCGTGACGAAAAATCGTACGCGATTATCGTAAGCAATAATCGCCATAAGATTATCGTATCATAATGTTTACATTCAGGCAAGAATTAAAATCTCGCCTACTATTATGTCATACGAGATTCGCAAGCAACTTAATCGACTGTTTACACAGATAAATATGTGGTAAGGAGATTCTTGCTCACGAGTTTTCGACTTGTCTAAACACGATCTCGTATGACATTTTTTCAAGTTCATACGATTATCGTACAAATCGGTTCGAACCGTTTTGAGTGCGAGAATTGCCATTCGAGTTGAGTGATTACTGCGGTATTGACTATGGACATATCAAAATGACGCAAAAATAATGTTATGACAAGTACTGTTGGCTTTTCGAAAACTTCTGAAATCCACCTTGGGCCGACGGGCTATGGTCTGACGTGACCACGCCCAAGGGTGGTCATATACAGTGATAAAGTGGTAGTGTAGCAGAACAGTGCACAATAAAAAGCATAGTCAATGAACTTCATAGTTTAGAGACTCAACGAAGCAATATGCAGTCTCTAATTGATGACGAAGGAGCATTCCTTGCATACATTTGTAGTTGTATTAAAATTTATAACGCGGGTCAACGCTCCGAATCAGGAAAACAATTTAGATAAACTCTCACACTGTTATTTTGTTAATTGTGGATTGTTTAAGAAAGATAAGGTGTATCTTTTGACGTACAACGGCATCGTTCAATCAAGACAATTCAAATTCAAACAAGCACTTATCCAGTTATTAGGTTTTCGCGATTGTTGAACGTTAGATATTAAACAATTTTTTAGGATCTAATTCGCGTATATTTGTATTTTCAAAGTAACTGACGCTCTGGGCCCTTGGCTGAGATAGTAAAGTTTCATTTACAAGTACATACTGAACTCGCAATCAATATAATGCCACAAGAAAAACATTAAAGTTACATTGTAAGAAAGATAATTATAATCAATAAATCATTATTACAAAAGAAAATAAATACAATTAGTACGTAATTACTTGTAACAAAGTATAATTGTTTTGATTTGTATTAGTAGGATGTTAAAAATCATAACTGTGTATAACGAATATTTCCACCAGCTAGTTATGCCGACAATAATTTCCCGATTTCCCAATTGATCATGAATTTCTGGTAGATAGATATACCTACTTATGCTGATTGCTCCGAGATTTTGAGGTTAATTTGCGTCATTATAATAATATAATTAAAGTAATAACGTTTCAATGTTTCGGTATTCTGCTTTTCAATGGCCGGTTGATAGCACAGCAACAATGGCGTTGTTTACCAATTAATTGATATAAAAAATCATGCTATAATTTGAAAATTAAATTCCTGATTAAACGAGATAAAAGTAATTTCCACGGTAGGTTTGAAAGGCAATATAGATCATAATAAGTTCGAATCTAAACTTCATAGTTTAGCCCACCGGCGCAAAGTTGTCCGTCTGTCAGTTTTCTACAGAAAATATTTCGGTGAGTGTGCCCATGAACTCCATTAGCTCATCTCGCCCGTCCCCTTTTACCATCGGACATCCAGACGTGCGGCGGGATATCATCCTTACTTGGTCGATATTCCCTTCAGGCATACTAAGCGCTTTTCATCATCTTTTATTATGTGCACAGCCCAGGAATGGATTTCCCTTCCTGCGACTGTGTTTCCGAACTCATACAACCCTTTAAGGTACGACAGAATAGGCATCTTTAGGGCCAGCTCTTTAGAGCAAGTCCATTTAATTAAAAAAAAGTCATAAAATGAACGAATGCCTCCACTGCCATTCCACTGACACTATTGAGACTCAACCGCTGTTGCAACTGAATTTTAGCAGTATCCGTTACTAAGCACCCATACTTGTTTACTCATTCTATTATTGACTGACGAATATAAAATGTATTATTCTTCTTCTTAGTGTGCCGCTTCTCTACAAACGTTGGCGACCATCATGGCTATTCTCATTTTTGAAGCTGCCGCACGAAAGAGAACGTGTGCTAAGGTGGAACTGGTCTCTCAGATTCTTCAACCACGAGGTTTTCCTTCTGCCATGATTATGCTTTTCCCGCATTTTTTCCTGCAATATTAGTTGAAGAATCCGTTATTTATTGCCCCTCATTACGCGGCCAAAATACTGCAGCTTCGTTTCCTTTATAATTCTGAGCATTTTCAACTCTTCCCATTCGACGAAGAACCTCAACATTGGTGACTATTTGTACCCACGATATGCCAAGCATACGTCTGTACAGCCACATCTCAAAGGACTCCAGTTTTGTGCATAATGCCGGGGTCAATATCCAATACTCCATACCAAACAGCAAGATAAAATGTATTACATAATTTAATTTTGCTTGTATATAATATTTTGGCGACGACGTCGTTTAATTTCAAAGAAAGGGAAACCTGCACGAGCCACTAGAAGGGGAGAGTGGGACCCTTGTAGATAAGATCATTGCGGCGAAATCCAGACTTAGAAACACCATAGGACCTTCGGGAGCGACCGCTCAGATTAGAATCAATTTAGAAGAAATAATTTCCCAAATTATCCATACCGTGAATCGAGCCCGTGACTCGTCCAATGCCTACAGTGCAAAAGGTTAGGTCATCAAGGTTGTCATTGGTCGATTATGTTTTTGGTAGTGGAACATCGATTTGTTTCATCCTTTGGTAAGTCTGATTGTGGACTTTGCAACGATACAAAATTAGGGCCGTTTTTTTGTTGGATTTAGCAAAAAAAAAGTAAATAAATTTTCTGAAGCAGCGAAATAATTGGTCTCTATTATATGGTAAAATCTATTACAATTTATATTAGTTGGGTATTCTTGCTTTTATTAGTGCCTAAGTTAAAGTCAAATAACCTTCATTTCATAGGTTAGAGGTTATAATTACACTTGAAATCGTCATACTGATTAAACATTACTTCGTAAGACAGATTGCCCTGGGAAGAATCAATAAGAAACTCTGAGGGTTGCTCTTTGTAAATAAACATTTGGACACCTTTATCATTTACAATATTTACTTCAAATATTTATAGATCGAGACTGCCTGCAATAGCCAAACGGGTCACTACTAGGGATTTTTGTCATATAAGAATATTATAAGAAATTTTAAATATCAACCGGAATCTTATTGTAAAAGCGTATACATTGCCCCTATGAATTTGTGAAGACGACTGTCAGAAGCTGCTAGTTTATTTACTTATTTCTTGACCATTGCGTTAATTCACGCAAACGCAAACTAAATCTATATTCACATTTGTGTCCGTTTGCGGAAATCGTCTCGGCTAGCATGCATTACATTAATACTACAAATTCAATGGCTTGTTTTTCGTACTTCTCTACCTGCTGGTGTTACTGCTATTAATTATTGTCTTTTGTATCGAAGAGAGAAAAAAATAGAGAGAGATTTCTGGAGATAAAAATGTTCCCTGTGACATTTCGGATCGTCATTTCTCGAATTCGGAACTGATACGAATCGGATGTCGTGCGCAAACGCTCTTAGTATAAATACTCAAACCCACGTTTGTACATTGAACGATAAATAGGTAGACAAAAGCTAGAATTTTTTTACTGCCTCCGTGGCCGAACGGTTAGCATGCTGGACTGCCACGCAGAGGTCCCGGGTTCGATTCCTGGGTCGGGAAAAATAATTGTACGGCTTATATTTATTTATCTCGTGAGTTTGGGTGTAATTTGTTGTTGTCTATGTGTGTGTCCATGGCACCCGCGACACAGGGTTTCCTAGTGCGGGGCTATGAGTGTGTGCGTTATTTATTTAATTAAGTGTTATTAACTAATTAAGATATAAATTGAATGATTCCACGTAAAAAATGTCTAAAAGGTAAACTTACATATATGCTGTCATAAACTTCTCCATAAAAAACGATGGGCACTTTCAAAGATATTTCTGGTGATGCAACATCGGATCCTCTGGGCAGCCGTTGATCGACGCCCGAGCCGTGAGGATAGAACTGGTCGCGCGTTATAGCGCACGCGCATGTCGAAAGCGCGAGCACGAGAAGCCACGTCTGCATTGCTGCGCGGGAGACGATACACTACGGGATAGGGACTGTAGGGGTGTACCGAGTCGATTCTCGAATACTTACATCATTATATATTTTCGTATTTAGAGATTCCACTATTATTATTATATTTCAGATAACTTAGATCCATAATTTGTTAAGTACATACTCAAAGCTATGTTACTTATGTCTATAAAATTAAAAGGACATACCAACAATAATTGATAAAAATAATTCAATCGCACAGCCATTACAAATCGCATTGCAGCGATTCATGAACGAACGGTTAAGCCTATTGGAGATCATTTTTAGGATACTACTGGTGCTGCCTCTCACCCTGTGCTACAGTGAAACACACCTTTTACGCATGTTGCATAAAACAATCAACGCGCTCCAATGCGAACATCCCCGAAGCACTGCACTATCGAGGCAGACCCAAGAATACCCAACAACATACGTATAATACTCGGAGGGCATTGTGAGCTACACTAGTGTACCTAGCCATTAAGAGCGATTACACACGGTGACTCTTAGCAGCGCGTCTGTTGCGATTCAGTCGCGACACGGTTGCGATGCAGCTGCTATTCGTTTGCCTTTACACACACGCGCAAGTTAAGAAGCGATACAATCACAATGCAAACACGTGTAAGCAAAATGGTATTAATAGTAGTAATGTAGATTATTTTAATTTATGTTTAAAAATGTGTGACTAATTTGACTAGATTTTGTAATCGAGAAGTGATCGCTTCTATAACGTTTAATTGATTTCCTGATAGCATGCTACAGTCAAGACAAATGAAGAAAAAAATGGCTCGGGTTTAAAGAAAAAACGACACCGTCACTCTTATAATTTTTGCGAGATTGTGAAGTGTGAATAATAAAGTGCGTTAAAAGTATCTAAGCGTATTTTGAAATATAACTCTTTTCCCAAGTCATCTGATGGGCAAACTTTTGTACACGATCCATGTTTTCAAAGATTCAACTAAGCGACCGCATCGATGCAACTGCCTATAAATAGCTGGTGTCGCTTCACAAACGCGCGTTTGTAACGCTGCTAAAAGGTGCTGTCTCATTGGTAGTGGACTGTAGCCTGAACTCTGTTCTTGGATCTATGTCTAGCAGTTGATCGTAATAATAATAATAATAATAATAATAAGGCACAAACTCATATGCCCGCACTAGGTAAACTTTGTACCGCGGGTGATAGAGAAGTAAATGTAGTAATTTTTTTCCCGGCCCGGGAATCGACCTGGGGATCTCTGCGTGGCAGACCAGGTTGGTAACCGTTCGGCCACGGAGGCAGTTACTAGTGGTAGTTAGTATATGACGATAATATTGACCTAACATAACTTTAATTCATATTTGATCTCGTGCTGTTTAAAACAGTAATACAGGCTAGATAGAATGGAGAATAACTAAGTAAGGAATTCAGATATCGCATTATTTCGCACTCTTTCCATAGTGGTAACCCGTGCCTAGTAGTACGACGTTTCCAGTTCATATTTACTATTGTGGACGGGACCATTACTGTGGCCTAGTTTAAATGTAGAGTAAAAAGCGAAGAGCTTATTTTGGCTCTTCGACTTTACGTTATACTTCACTTATTATCGCTTACTATACATTATAATTATAACTTTTTTTATAAAAAAAAGTTTTCTTACCTGTTTCGTGTTTTATTTTCATTGGAATTACATCTATGTCTAAGTAAAATAAGCTAAAATTAGAATAAATATGGTAACTCCATACAAATGTAGTAGCGCGGCTTATATGTGTGCGAGCCCGCCGCGAGCCGTGTACGGACACACACATTTGTATAATCTAAGGATGCTCTCGCGTTGCATAGCACTGGTCGTCCCGACGCGCTTTCTATTATTATTCGAATGCAAGCCGCTCTGTTATAATGTGCAGAGTTACCCTAGTTGTTTTATTCTACTATGTCTATGTGCTAAGTTTTATTGAAATCGTTAGCGGAAAGTCGATGGAATTCAATAAACAGGATTCATTCCCTTATTTGCCACCCTTAGAGGTGGAATATTTCCTTCAAATTTGAATGGGACAAAGTCCTTTCCAACAAAAAAAATCATCGACTTCAGTTCATAAATGACGGAGAAATCGCTTAACATACACACACAAAAAAAACCTGAAGAATAGTCCTCTTTTTTTTCAAGTCGGTTAAAAATGAAAATTAAATAAAAAAATGAAGATATTGCTTTCTCATACAAAGTAACTTAACTTACGTAATTATTAATTATGTAACTTTAGACTTAATAAAAACTTAACGTTATGGCAAAAAAGTCGTTAAAAAAACAAAAGAAAGATCTGTTCATTTTGTCCGTGGCTTAGTTAGCAAAACATCTCGCACGGTTTTCTAGAAGATGTTGATTCAAATCCAGCCGGATCGAAAGAATTTTTTCCAAGTATTCGATCTTTGTATTAATAAGTATGGACATAATAGATTATGTCTGATAAAAGTTGGATAAAATTGACACATTATTGTAAACCGCTATCGAAATTATTGCCAACTCTAGTCCACCATTAGTGGGACATTTCTAACAAATCGTTTTAAGACGTTTTGACTAACTTGAAGCAATAAAATGGCTCCAAAATAACTCCGTCCAGCGACGACGTGGTTGGACTCAAGCGGTGAGAGATGCAATTTATCGACTCGGAAGAATTTCAGTAGAAAATAGTTCGAAAACATTCTATGTTTATTCTTAGAGAAATGCATAAAATAAAAATAAAAACTTTTGGAATCTAAATCGGTTTGAGGGCGATCCAGATTGAATCCAAATAAGTCGAGTGCATGTAGAAGAGTCAAACAGTCTCTGGAAAACGTGTGAAATCGCCAACTCGCATTGGACCTGCATGGATGACAACGGCCTAAATCCTCTCCTTAGAGAGTGGGATGTGTAATGAATTGATGATGGTGAAGTGTAGGTCTACGTTAAAAAAAACCAGTGAAACTTTAATAGAACTAAAGAACCTTGTGAAAGGGTTCGTCCAGGGAAGCACGCTACTTTACCTATTTCTGCCGCCAAGCAGTAACGCTTTTCGGTTTTGAAAGGTAAAGGTTCTGGTGAAATTACACTCACATGGAACTTGTCAACTTATGCCTCAGGATGACGGGCGCAGTGGCAGTGCCTGCTCAGATCTCTGTGATTTAAAGCTCTGAGCGCCATTGTGCAACTGTTATTGACAGACTTGAAACTTACCACCAGGCGCTGGACTTGTTCGTCCTTTACTTGGTATCATAAAGCCAGCTTAAACAATCAACTGTAGGTGCTTTAATTACGTACATTTTCCAGCACTACATAGATAGGTACATACCCTCAAACCTACGTACAACTGGGCTATAAAGAACCTTCCTCTATAATTTTTCTTTTGTTTTCTTATTTTCCTTTATTCGACTAACATTCGTTCTTGCCATACGACTAAACCATTCAAGCATTCCCTTTTCTATCTTTATGTTTTCTTTTTTTTAATATACCAAGTGGCGGGATGAACATATCGTACGCCTGGTGTTAAGTAACACGCCTGTCCATAGAAATGGTCGTGGCAAACAGAGCCTGAAATTGCGAAGATCTGAAGGACACTGCCACTGCGCCTGTCGCCCTGAGAGATAAGTTGACAAGTTCCGCAAATGCATGCGGGTGCATTTAAAACTGCAGCGCAGTCATGCTCGTATTACTGCTGTACTGTAAGGTCTTCCCTGGACGAACTCACAAGAAGCTCTACTGCTACTAAATTACTACAAATGCAAATGTAGACATATCAGCTTTCATACCCCAATAATCTTTTTCAAGTAGTTGAGAAAAACTTAACAAGATTGGTTGCAATTTTGAACGCGCTGTATTTTCCAATTCTTTGTTTTAACTTTCACGTGGAGCACCATTTCAGCTAATTAACAAACGTGAACAAATTTCGATGACATTAGCAGACTCGGCTTCTCATAGCAGTGTCACTGCAGATTCGCCTCCCGCAATTTATAGCGCCGATGTACAAGACAAAGGAACATTAGGATTCGATGTTTAGTTTCAAATTACTGACTAAGTCAGCCCCATATCTTCCTACATTAGTTTTGATTATAGTGACCCTCTGTACCGACCCTTAGGGTATATGAAAAGGGCACTATAATAACCTGTATGCCAAGCTCTTATAACAAGAAGATTTTTTTTTATAATATCAAGGGACGGGACGAATGAGTCGTGCGCCTGATGGTAAACTACACGCCGGTCCATAACAGTTTCAGTGCCACTCAGAGCTTTAAATCGCAAAGATCTTAGGGGCACTGCAACTGCGCCCGTCACTCAGAGATATAAGTAGACAAGTCCAGTGTGCCTGTAATTTCACCAGCACCCTTACCCTTCAAACATGGAATACAGTAATGCTGACATTACTGCTTGGCGGCAGAAATAGGTAAGAATGTCCCTAGTTTGGCATAGTTGCCCTAAATTGCCATCATAGAAGCAGGTTCGAGTCCTATCAGATCGAAGGATTTTTTCTTTGTGTTCTTTGTATTAATCATCATTAACAGCAACCCATTATCACGTACCGCTGTTGGGCACATGTCTTCTCTCAGGCGAGGGTTTAGGCTATAGTCTGCCACCCTGGCACAAGGCGAGGGTGGCTTCACATGTGTTTTTGAGTATTGTGAACCTTCTTCGACGTGCAGGTTTCATCGAAAAGCTCATGTTAATTTCATATTAAATTTGGCACATAAACTCCTAGAACCTCAGAGGTACGAGCCTGTGTTCGAAACTATAACATTTGCTTGGGAGGCGGTCGGTCAAACCAACTACCACAGCAATTATTAACTTTGTATTTTTAAAATTATTATGTATTTTATTATTTATTGTACAGGAAAACACAAATCGCATTTGGCAAAACGGAAAACACAAACAAAAAGTACTGCTTATTTCTATAAGAAATTTCTTCCCCCAGACCAAAATACAGGACACAATAATTACAATAACGGGTTTACGTATAACAAAAGAAAATAATAAAAAAAAACAGAAAAAATAT